TTTTGTTGAAATTGGTTGAAAAATGTAGGAAATTCGATCCCATATATAAACGACCACACACACACACAAACAACCTGGGTTTTATAATAAGTATAACTCGATATGAGTTGTTCCCTTTTCATTCTCAGGATGCATGTTAATCGTGATTTCAAACTGATTTCATGCAAAAACAATTGTGTTTTTCCAATTTTTGGCACTGTTAGAACCACCACAAGGTAATTTTATGTAGTCCTGTGAAGTTTTGTTGAAATCGGTTGAAAAATGTAGGAAATCTGATCCAATATATAAACGTACTGACACACACACAATATGCGTTTTATAATAAGTAAGATATATATATATATATTTATAATAAGTAAGATATATATATATATATATATAAGTTAGTCCATGAGTCTGCAATTGGCCAACATTTGCTGGACAATAATGCTTGTGCCACTGAGTATGAAGACACATGGTTTTCAGTTTTACAGAGCGCTCGATCAATACACCATCTTTGAGTTTCTGAAGCCATTTATATTAAGTGTCAACAACCCAGACCAGAAAGAACACATTTTACGTTCCTTACGTCTGTTGGAGGGTCTGTGAGTTCCCCTTTTTTATTTTATATACTCTTGTGGAACTATTTATTTACATCCCCCTCGTTCAGTTTTAATTTATATAATTAAAATTTGTCTTTTAGTCGAGTTCCACCTTTCCCTCCTCATTCACTTCATTAAGTTGTCTTTGTGTTCATTTATATCTAATATTGCCAATGAATATCTTTGACAAAGCATTGGCTGAAAGGTGCCTTAAGTATGACGTCCACTTTATTTAAAGCTATATATATATATATATATATATATATATATATAGTCTTGGATGGCAACTGGTCTAGGAGAAGGACAACTCTGAATTGAAGACCTGCAGAGGGTCATTTGGAGACCTTGTGGCACACAGTGTACCATTTCTCTGTATTCAGTGTGGTTGGTTCTGCACAAAACCATCACCACTATAATTGAATCATATGTGCAGGTTGTCTAGCTGTCAGTTCCTAGGATCTGAGGTGCCCAATCCTCATATGTCATAAAAGGGTCCCCAGTAGGTGTGGGTCAACAGCCCACATCAATCAATGATGGGAGAGTCCACAATATATATGCATGTGTGTGCATGCACAAGAGTATACTGACTAAAATGTTCTCAGCCCAACCAAAGCTTTTTCACCTCAGTAATTTATGATCATGTTTAATCATTTAGATTTTTGGAAGTAGGTTGGACTGAGGTGATTTCTGTTTCCCTGTATATGTGAATAAGTCTTCACCCAAATTAGGAAAAAGAAGACAATAAACATTTATTTTCCAAGATTGGATTCTTCAGTCATTTTCATTGTATTGTGTTCCAGCAGCTCTTAGAAGTGAACAGCCATATTACCTGCACATATCATTTGATTATAATGGTGGATGCTTGTGCAGAACCAACCCAATATAGAGAAATAGTGCACATAGTGTGCCACAAGGTCTCCAAAAGGTTTTGAATCCAGAGTTGTCCTTCTAAATTAGTTGCCAACCAAACAACCCGGTCTGCCCTACTATAACCCATAGCTGAAGGGAGATGAAGTGACAGATCCATACCTTTCCCAAGTGTGTTTGTGCATAAGTGAATTTAAGGAATTTGAGTGGAATTTGAACTCAGTTCTCTGATTTCTCATTGCAAGCCATTCTCCAACACTCACACATACATATATATACACACACACACACACACACACACACACACACACACACACACACACATATGTGTGTGTGTGTGTGTATGCATACACTCATGCTCAAAGAAGATTATCAGAACATTATAATTCTCTGAGGATGATATAAAAAAAACATTGAAACAATCAACAATGATTCTTGTTAATAAATAAGAACTCCTTAAACATATGCCTCATACAGTTATCTTCATCCTTTACAAGTAATTGCATGAATATAACCGTGTATGCAACAATATACATGTATACGATTAAATAAGAAACAAGTTCTTACATGAATATATAGTAAAAGAGTGATGTTGGCAATTTTAGCACAATAGATAAGGATGTTCATATCTCATCTGCAAGAGAATTATTAAATCAGAGAGAAATATTTTACCTAAGATTTGTATACTCTATATTAAGAGTGTTATTAAAATCACAATTAGAAAACAAAAAGATCTGAAACAGAAGCAGCTCTCAAAAAAAATGATTCCTCAGTAAAAATTGGCTTCATGACTATAGTAATGAATAATTTTAATGTTGAAATGTTTCCCAAACTTTAAGATAAATATCAGGAAGTTATTGCAGTTCTCAAGAATTTGAATGAATAATTCATTGTGTATTTTATTTTGGATTCATCAATTTGAAATTGATGTCTTTCTCAAGCCAACAGAATATATTTTATTCACCTTTTCATAATCTAAAACCTTTAAAGTAATATGCATAGAAAATAATATCGTCTGCTATGTTTTTTCAGTGCTTCATTTGACCAGCCCCCTGACAGTCCACAAAGGTTGGTATTTATATTATTGAAAGCTTATGCTTTTCAAACACTAATATACTAACATAAGCCGAGTGGATGTCTATTAATTCATACCAACTAATATGCATATTTATTTTTGTTTTTATTGTTGAAATTTTTATGGAATTTTTTTTTATGATAATGATATGCTAGGTTTATGCAAGCAATATAGCTTTGACCTGTTAATATAAAAAAAAAAAAACATATTTCACATAAGGCATTACAATATGCTTAATTTGCATAAGTGGTAGTATATACACCTGTGTTATGAAATGCTAGTGTATTTAGGTAGAAACATATCTCCTGGAATATTTATCCAACATCAATTATTGCAAACTCAATGTCCAAGTAAAAAAAAAAAATGAGTAACACAAAACAATATAAAACAAATGATAACCAATTGCATGTATTGACAAAAAGGAATTACATGAATACACAATTAGGATAAAAGAAAAAAAACATTTAAACTAGCTGTAAGGGAGTGCGTGCACTTTGTGTTTGTGAAATTTGTGTATGTGATACACATGTGTATATGTGAGTGTGCAAGAAATAAACATGTGCAATAGAGTTCAACAGTCAAAAAACACACAACTGTACATACTATTAAATCTGAAAGTTTGTTTAGAAAAAAGAGGCTAAGGAGAGAAATGCACACTTTTTTTTATAAGCTTAAGGAGTGCCTCCGAGCAACGGTTTTCTGGCAAATTCAAGGGGAATAACTCACACTTGTATTTATCTGATAATAAATGAGGGGTCAGGGGTTATTTTTATTTTGAACTGAGGATAGTAAATGCATGAATACAACATGAAAGCAGCTCTCTTTTTTTTTTTTTTGCTAAAAGCCACTTTTTTTTAACAAAATAAAGGAAAAATAGACGAATAATTTTTCTTTTTAAGCATGATATTTTGATTTTATTGTATCTATATTCACCTGAATTCTTTATCTCAATATTAATATTTTAAAATTTTCTAACAAAATTTTTCTATTTCTTAATACAGTGTTAAGCTTTTAGAAGGCATCTTTGGCTATCCCAATATGCCTTCAGATTTCATTGTCACACTTTCCATTCTCTGATAAAACACTTCCTAGATATTTATATTGTTATATAGTTTGATTTTGGTATCTCCAATTTGCATGTTGAACTGTTCCTTTCACTAACAACTATGCATATCTTCTGGCAGTTGATTGATGGTTTGTCTTTTCTTCTTGCTTTCCCACACTACCTCCTGTAGTTCTTATAGTTTCCTTTCTATATCTGCTATCAACACTGTGTCATCTGCCTATCTAATGATGTTAAGATTATAGCCACCAATAATGAATCCTAGTAGCACTTCTAATTCTCACAAAATCACCTCACTGTAATGGTTGAATAAGTCTACTAAGAAAACACATCTTTGTCTTACACCCCTTTCTATCTTTATAATTACTGAATTCATTTTCTATATCCACACAAGCAGTTTGCTGCCAGTATAGATTTTGGATTATTCTAACTCATCATCAGAGCAGAAAAGGCTACAGTCAAAAATACACAAATATATATTTTTTTATATAGTTTCAAGAATAACTATTAATAGTTATGAAAAATTCATGGTTTTTCTATTTCAATTTTCTGATAAATCATAATACATAATTTAATGGTTGAATAAACTCCTTGCAAATTGTATGACTATAAAATACCCATGAAAATTACCCTGTCACATCATTAAACATTTGAGCTTAACTTTTACAAAATATTGCAATAACAATCAAAAGAACGAATTCATTATTTAAAGAAGTAACAGGGTACAAATGAAAAGATTTGAAATTGATAAAATTTTCCATTTCACTGAAGCAACCATTAAAAACATTATTATCACTCCTCTATCTTTCTCTCTGATTTTTTTTTTTGTTTTTTTTCTCACTGAAATCAGCGTTTCTGATATGTCTTTTCCATTTTACCTCTTGATCAAAATAGAATAGTCAATGAAGTATTGGTAGGTTGTAAAGTATTTGCTAACTATTTAAGGGACAAACGGAATTAAATTTTTTATTTATCTTTCCCCTTGAAATGTCCTCAAATGAACATTAAATTCAGTAATTATGTTTTTGTTCTTGTATTACACATGACTTGGTAGCAATCACAGCTTCTATTAAAAGTTGCAGTGTCTCATTTTTTTTTTAGAGACAGCATCTCCTTGCCTTACACTTTGACATCCAGGTAGATGCAAGATGTACTCTGAAACAATAGTCTGTATTTGTGTATGTCATCCTCTTCTACCACTTCTCCACATTCCAAACGGGGTGCAATTACTTTTTTTTGTCTTGGTTTACTCCCCTAATACTTAATAACTACCAAAAGTATTAATGCAGGTCATTATTTAAAGAAGTAAAAGGTATACAAATGAAATGATTTAAAATTGACAAGATTTTCATTTCATTGATGCAGCCATTTAAAACATAAAATTATCAGCTCTTTTATCTTCTCTCTCTCTCACTGAAACCAAACAGTGTTTCTGATGTAAGACGTGCTCTGCAACAACAGTCTGTCATTTTGTCACTCCTCTGCATTCCAAATATGGAATTTTTTTTCCTTCTTAGTTTAAATCCCCAATTGATTAAAGTACCTGGCATTCAAAAATGTTTCTGGTGATTGAAAAAATACTGAGAAATGAATGTCATTAGGTTATTTTGGTTAGGATCTTGGAGAGAGCTTTTAGAGAAATGTCTTTTTTCATTGTAAAATCATAACTTTGGCCTGAAATAGGTTAATTTAAATTCAAAAAGAAATTATCGGAAAGAAATGAATTCAATTAGTTTAAATGAGTTTCAAATGTCTCATGGCATAGAAAATAAAATAAAAAAGAAATTACTGAAATAATTATTGCTTGTTAATTTTTATTACATTAAGTTTTGTCTTTGAAGTTTGAGAAATTTCAAATAAACTTATGAGCAGGAATAATAATTATCAAAATTCTTAAGAAATTTGAAGTCAATTTTATTATAAAAATTCAATCCTGTCATTGTATACAAAACACTTTATATTTGTATATATGTAAGAATAAATAGAATACAATTCCAAAGTTCATAATATTTAATTTAATAGAGTGCTCAATACAAAGTAGAGCAATATTATTTATTTTAGGATATTACACCAAAAACATGTCAAAATCGCTACACAATTGCAGACATGTTTCGATGCATATCAATGCATTTCATCAGGTGATTTTAAATTACTGGTGAGTGAATGATTTATTTAGATTTAAAAAGCAAAATACAACCTCTTTTTATGAAAAAAAGAAAAAAAACAGGGAGTTATAAGGTTTGTGGGCTTTACTCTAATCAACCAATCAAATATGACCTATGTTAAATTTAAACTAAGCAAAGAAGCAAAAACTAAAAATTATTTTATATAAATGGGTCATGACCCATAGATTGATAACCACTAATCTAACCACCCTCCACCTGTAATCCAACATATACCTTCATCTGTAGAATGTAGGATTAGCAACCACTCATTGGATAAAGATGTGTTTTATAAATATAGCAGTGAGTATAATAAAGTTTTAAAGAATAGTGGTTATAAGTAAGCTGAAATCAAGTTTAGAAAATATGATGATAGTAGTCCAAAAAATAGAAATCGGAAGATCATTTGGTACACACCCCCATTTAATCAATAATCAGTACTAAGTTAAGCCATAAGTTACTCCAATTGATTGATAAACATTTTCCTAAAAGTAACCCTCTTAGTAAAATATTTAACAGAAACACATTAAAACTAAGTTATAGCTGCACCAATAATCTTGAAGATTATAAAGTTACACAATAATAAAATTTTAAACCAATTTAATAATCTGGATCATAATACACATTCCAAGAAAAATATCAATAATGATACTGGCCAATTTAATTGTAGAAATTCTGGCCAATGCCCATTGCCAAACAAATGTTTAACTAAATCTCTTGTTTATCCTTGTACTATCTTTACAACCAAGAATCCAGCGGTTGAAAAATTCTATATTGGTAGTACTAAGAATTCTTTCAAGACTTAGTGGTATCATCATATCTTGCCCTTCACCAATAGTACTTACAGAAAAGGTTTAAAAGATAAAACTTCGAAGATGAAAGGTAAATTTTAAAAAATAGCAAGGACATGTAGATCTTTATATGAACCCTGTTTTCTGTGCTTACATGAAAGATTGGAAATTATCAGATTCAATAAAAATTCCTTATTAAATCAAAGAAATGAATTAACATTAAATTGTAAACATAGTTTACCTTTTACCTTACAATTTAGTTAAACTTTGGAATTTGATTGTTTTTTTTCTTATATTTTAGTTATACTGTGTTGCCCTATATATGGCTTATCTTTCTGTTTGTAAGATTAATTTGGATTTATTATAATTTTATATTAATCTTCTGGTAGTATTAGAAACATCTTGTATGGATGTAATGACATTTGGTTGGTATTTTTCACATTTTACATTGATTGGTTAGTGTTATTAACATCTTATATGAAGAATCTTTATTCAACAGTTGCATATTAATTTACCAAATATTAATTAATTTTCTGAATAAAATATTCTTGAAATATTTATATCATTTAGTAAATCTTGTTTGAAAATACTTTTTTAACATATCTCTCTCATAAACTTTAAATACACCTTGTCCTCTTTTGATTTAGTTTTCTAGTGACAGGTTTTCAATCCCAACAGTTATTTTGCTTTACTTCACATTTGGGATGTTCAACATTAGACAATAAAAAAATAACCTAAATAATGTTTGCGCTTTTTTCAAAAAACTACCATTGAACTAAAATTGAATTAATTTGCCTTGCATTATAATCTATAATTATATTTTCCCAGCCGAAATTTGCACTGAACGGTCAAAGGCATTATCTGTTAATTTTTGTTAATGTCTTTAGTCAAGGTTTTATTCTGTTGTAATAAATTTAATGTCATAATAATATTCACTGAAGCATACTGAAGGATGTTAATGCAATGCTTTGCTTAAA